CTGTTACATTCAAGCATGTAGCCTAACTGAAATGGCACAAAACGCATTTTGTCAATTAGCCTGCATTTCCATCAGCTGAATACACTATAATACACCTCTCTATGTCATATTTGAGGAAAAAAAAATAAAAAAACAGAAATATATAATATTGAGCTTGATTGATTACTGTTTTTGTTTTCATATTATGGCCATATTTTACATTGTAAAAGCGCAACAACTAACGGCTCAGGAAATGTCCATTAATCAGCTGTGAACTTAATGGCTGTTTACCTTCTTTATTTTTACAAGATTTTTTTTTATTTCTTTGTCAGTTTAATCATACCTGCTGCCTTCTATCATGTTTTGTAGCTACGGCCAGGCAAAAATAGAAATATGAGCAGTCATCTGACTTTATTTTAATCATATTACATTATTTATCACCTTTCTTCTTATTAGAGGTTATAAACCTCAAGTGAGCGTGCAAACTTTTATTTTGGTGATTTTATTCATTATTTGCTGTTTAAGCCAAGTCTTTTTTATCCCATGTGCCAAAATAGGCACATCAGTGGGAAGCTAGCTAGCATCAAACTACATTTATGCACCCTATTTAGAATCTGTATCAACAGGTTTAAGTTCACACTTCTGACTATTTCAGTTTTAATATCAACAAATGTCTAAAACAAAACCAAAATATAAAGGATGTTTTTTTTTTTCTTTCCACAACTTAAGACTGAATACACAACAGTGCCATTCATAAAACCCAAACCATAATAAATTATATCTCCTCTTCTGCTTATAAATGCAACTGTGGTATAGATTTAAAGTTTAAAGTCTGTATTTCCACAGAATTTCTCTGCTTGTGGTGAGCAAGATCTAAAATTGCGTGCTTTGCTGTCCCTTGTTTGCTGTGAGTGAGAAACGGTCCATATAAAATGACTTTAATTAAGGATTTGACTGCTTTTAAACCTCCATCTACTAATAATGGTGACCTCTAAGAGTTCAATCGTCGGAAAAAGACATCTATGACTGCACAGCAAACTTTGGGCAGCAACTTGCTGGAAGTAAGAAATCAATGCAGTGCATGGATGGCAGCACAGAGCAATAGACTTTGTTGAAAGCTTGTCCTTGGAGCTGACACAGAAATGGAAGAGCAGGCAGTAGCTGACTCTAAAGCTGAACGATCATTCGGCAAACTTCATTACCTCCACACTGTTATGTTATACTATATACCGCTATAGAGTTTTTAGTGCCACCGCACAGAATGGGATGGGACAATGCTGATAAATTTAACTTAAATAAACTAATTCAACCTCAAAGCAGTTCTCCAAAAGAGGCATAACCCAGCCAAGGGGCAAAGGAGAAAAAAAGGAAAAATAAATCAATAAATTGTTGCTTCAGCGCAGGAAACATTGCTCATACGGGCAAATGCTGTCTGTTTTAGTAAACAGTGAGTCTTTACAAAGGCTAGAAATGTCCAGGCCAGCGCTACCCCTATACAAAAGACAGGGAGGGCGTAACACAACATTCAAGATGTGTAATGTTATGGGTTTAACGACTAATAATTGTTCTTAAACTTCATACTCAATCAAAACCCCTAACCTAAGTGTGTGCAGGTGACGTGTGTATCAGTGTGTACAAAGCTAAGGTGAATGTGGTTTACTGGAGTAAAGCCAGCCTACGTCCACCTCTCCAGGCCAGCCCAAGTGCAGCCCCGCAAGGACGGAGAGCACAAGCCTGTTGGTTCCGTTCAGACGTTTAACAGTGGGTAGCTGGGACAAATTACCCACACCAAACAACAACCCAGCAGAGGAGGATGGCAGCCGGCTTTCCCATTTAAGTTCGGCGCCAACTCACTTTCCGTCATGCCGACTCTCTCCCTCATGACTCTGTATTTCTGGGGCTTTTATGCTCCCCCAGAGCACCTGGAGGCAAGCTAGTGCCCCCCCAGTGGATGAAGTGTGTAATTGACAATATACTGTCTAACTAAGTGTGCCCTACCTATCCTAACAGTCAACACTTCCAATCACTGGTTAACTGCAAAGCCCACCCTCCTCAGACACAATTAATCCCATAAACACTACTACCACTAAACCACACAACAATAACAATAACAGTCTGTTTTTGCACTAGGAGTGCAGCACATCCCAAGAGCGAGACCACACCCCCTAAGCTCACCACAGCAGCGTAGTAACAATACACTAAGGTCCAAATATCAATATTTATTATTATGTGGTTCTAAAGATTTTTATGTGAGTGAAGCCTACAGTTAGACTAATAGATTATCAAAATGATTTCTGCTTTAATCCACATAACAATGCTGCTGCAGACATGTTGTTACAGTTATTACGAATAGTTGGATTGTGTAGTGGATAACACACTTAGCCCATTAAAGGGAGAATGGGGTTCCCACTGTTCAGAGAGGATACAGAATTAGTGCTATTTCATACCAATAAGAGTTACTGGATAAAACTCCTAATGTTGCATTCACCTGGCATTGTTAACTGCTCTAGATAAATGCGGTTGTTAACTATATAAGTATAAAGCCTATTTCAAAAGGCCCATATCCTACATTTTTTCTTCTATTTAAATTTTAAGTTTTTCTGATTTTTTCATGGTCCACTTATACATTTGTGTGGTTTTGTATTCCAAAAATGGTCATAATTAATTTTTACATGACCACTGTCCAAAATTTGTATTTATTTATTTTTTAAATTGAACATGTTGGACAAAAACTAAAAGTGTTTGAGTAAAACAAATAACCAAGCATTGTTTAGAGTATAAGACCAGTCAACTTGACACCTATGAATTTATTTGACATTAATTAAGGATTTGACTGCTTTTGAAACCTCCTTCAACTAATAACGGTGACCTCTAAGAGTTCAATTGTTGGAAAAAGACATCTGTGACTGTAAATTCTTCAATTCTTCATATATATATATATATATATATATATATATATATATATATATATATATATATATATATATATATATATATACATATTTATTCAAACAAACTCTCAATATATGTGTATCTTCTTCAAGTCCTTTAGAAAAGCAGCCCATGTTTCTACTAATAAATGTTCTTCAGAGACATAATTTGAATCTAAAATAGAAGATGTGTTTTGACCTCTGCATAATATAATTTAAATTGTTTTGTTACTCATTTTCATGTCTTCACTGGTATTTTCACTTTATTACTGTTAGTTCTATTCATATTTATAAGAAAAGTAAATACTTTTCCTTCAGTTCCACTTCAGTCCTTCACATTTAGTTCCTAATTTGTTTTATTGGTTTAATTTCATTTTGTTGTGTTGGTTCAACTCACATCTCTCACTTTGGAGCTTTAGTTTTTTTTATATTGAAGCAAAATGATCTAAAAAGAGCCAAACAAACTTTAGTTCCTACAATGATAGATGCCAGATGTGCTAAGAGGTTCCACTGCGGTTCTATGGGGAGCTGGAGGGTGATTTCAATGCAGTATCAATATTTTTACTTCAGTTTAGGTTGCTCTGTCTGCCTTAATGGTGAATAGCATTGTTAATATTACTTTCCAAATATATCACAGTATTTTGGTATTAGATGATTTTTAATTTTGCATTGCAAAAGTTGCATTGCAACTCCAAAGCTCCGCCACAGCTAGCGGGGAAGATCACACTGACAGTGACTGATAGAGTCGCTTAGCTAGCCCGGAAAGAGTCCCTGGCTCGGGGAAAGTCTCACTGCTCAACTTCGGTCTATCACACAGGCAGCATCCCTGGAAGGCCTGAAGGATGAAAATGTCCTTAGCTACAAAAGATTAGCATTTTCCTGCAACCAAAACCACCAGTCCAGGCAGCCTCATAGCTGTAATGCAGCATCACCCAAGTGGCCAGCCCAAGCAGTCACATAGCTGCAGTGTAGCGTCAATCAGGTCCCTGGTCCAGGTAGCCTCATAGCCACAGTGCAGCATCACTCAAGCAGCCAGTCCAGATCAGTCATAGCTATGATGTAGTGTTACCCAAACGGCGAGCCCAAAAAGCCTCCGAGCCATGCTTGGAAAGTAACTCTCAGCCGCTACCTCGGTGGATGTGATCACAGTCTCAAGCACCTAGCAAATTACATAAACAGCAGTGGTGAAACTGTGACTGTTAGAGCTTGGCCTTCAGTTCAGGCCATAAACGTCAAAAGTTAAGATATAAATAAGATAAAAACCTCTGTGATACAGGTTTTCTAATTATATGTTTATGCTAAGCCAACACTAGAATGGTTTTTGGCCATTCTATATTAAACACAGACATTTGAAGCTTTTAAAAGACATTTCATATGTGTTTTTGAAGCTTGCAACATATAGTAACATATATTTTACCTTGTATTTATCAAATTTACAGTGACTCTCATTAAAGCACCCATTATTAACAAGTGCCTAAAACCTGGTTAGACTGCAGCATGTTTTCACAGTCAGTGACGTGTACAACTTCCAGAAGGCCTAGACGATTTTATCCCCCCACCTGCCAGGAAATGGTCCCACCTTTTATAAACCAAAATCATAATCGGTTGATTCCACTGTTGTTTCATAACTCTGTTGGTGGATAATTACGTAAGGCCTTCAGTTAAGCTCCTGAAGGCCTAACCAGTGGGAGAGCTCGCTTGACTGTACCTTAGAAACCACTGAGAAAAAAATCCTGATTGGACAATATTTCAGTGGGACTCTTCAAAATCATAACTCTTTTGACTCCAGCCAAATCTAAATGAAATAATAGCAGTACTACAAAAATTGCAGAGTTTAAATAAAAGTTTGTAATTAAAATGAGCTCAAAAATTACACACAGCTAATTTTAGTTCCCAGAAATGATTAGGCTTCCTCTGAAGGCCTTAAAGCCCTGAGGGTCCTCACTGCATTGCGGTTAGGTTTTTGTGATCTATCAATACTGCTAAATATAAAAATCAATACTGTTGCTGGTAAATAGATGAAATATGACCCAGCACTAACCCTCCTCCTGTGACAGTGAGTATGCATTTGAACCTGTGTTTGTTGTACAGATGCTCCGAGTGTGAAGATGAAGAAGGACCCAGTGTTCGTTAACGTTGGAGACACTGCAGATTTGATGTGCGAAGCTGATGCCAACCCCATCAACTCTGGCATGTTCTCCTGGAAGTGGATGGTGAGTGACTCCTTTTTTCGGTTCCGCTCTTTTTCTCACATTAACAACATCTTTTTCAACTTTCCTCTCCTTCCCTTCCTTTCTCTCCGCTCTCGCTCTCACTGTCTATTTGTCTTCCTCCGACTTCCCTCTCTTCCTCTTTGTCTCCTCTTCTCTTGGCTGTGTCGGTGGCACTCTTTAGCGGCGGGACACGCCATATTTCACTGCTCTAACTATCTCACCTCTCTGCAACACCTCCGTCCCAAATGGAGAAAAATAGCTTTCATTAAAGCAGCTTTAGCAAAGGCCACATTTGTCAGTGTTAGCTGAGATTGTGCCGTTTTAGAGCTTTTTTTTCCTGTTCAAAGCGCACAACCATTGTCCTTCTGGCGTTTAGGCCACAATTCTAATATTGTAAGCCACCCTCCATGTTTGTATAAGAGGTTGTGTTTAATATGTACAATGTGCAAAAGTCAGAGGCCACCATTTATTTTTTTTTTAATTTCCAGTCAAATGGCTGTTCAATTCAATTTATTCATTTTTAAGGGGGTGTTTTTGAGGAGATTAGATATAAGATCACCCACCTGCATGAGGAAAGGGAAAGTCAAAGGAAAAACGAGAGTTTTCGAAAGTAAAATGTTAAAAGATACAGAGAAAATGAGACCACCAAAACTGACCAGATAAACAGGACTTAAAACTTTCATCTTTGAGAGAAAATCAAGCTCCACTCTTGTGTCAGATCTAAAAAAAGTAATAGATGTTTCTGTCGATCCTTCCACTGTGAGGACAACTCAACGCTATGAGTCTAAAATTATAGAAAAAGAAGGAAGAACAAAGTAGAAATATTGCAATTCAAACAAAGAGGCTGCTGGTGTTCACAGAACAATGGACTGACCACCCCAGAGTCCAGACCTCAATATCACTGAATGTGTTTGGATTACTTGGATTGTGAGAAGCAGAAAATATAACCAACTTCTAAGACTGAACTTTGTAGGTGTGTAAAAATATCCCTGCAGATTTCTTTGAGAAACTGAAAGTGAGTCTCCTGAAAAGAGCAGAATCTGTAATAAAGGTAAAGAGTGGACACAATAAATATTGCAAATTTAACAAATTGATATTATATGTAGTTGTGGGACTTTGCACTTATCTGTTAAATATTTATTTTCTTTTATTTTTGCTGACTCTGCAAATATATATTAATAATTTTAGCAATAATAATTGCTGTTTTCACTGAAGCTTAAATAAAACTTGGGAAATCTCTGACTTTTGAATGGTACTGTACGTCTTGGTAGTCATACATTCTCTAAAATGGCTTAAGTGAGTAAGTTTTCAGTCAGAAGAGCCACAATTTGGACTAAAAAGCTTTTAATGAAAGCAATAGGATATGCAAATTAAAAAAAAAAAGTTCATAATGTTTACTAAAACAGTAACATCATTGCTGTGGTATCAGCGCAGAGCACATGATTCTGCTGTGAGAAGTGTGAAGTGCTCATTTATAAATCAACCAGCAGAAAGGCACATAACATACAGCCAAACGTGGTGGTGGTGGTGGTGGTGGTGGTGTTATGTGTGAGTGTCACTGTCACCTCACAGTGACACTCACATATAAACATCCCACACCTCTAACACAAAATATCATAAATAGCACATAACACATCTTTTAACTAACAGACAACAACATAAACAACAACTCCCTCTTCTGAAGGGTATGCGCCTCCCATGAGCCTCCTCACATGGCCCTTCAACACAGTTGGCCCTACAATATGGTTTAAAATATGAGAGCCAGAAAAATGGTATAATTCTTCTGTACACATTTCATGCAGTCCTTGTACTGCAATGTAAAAATGTTTTGTCTGTTCAAAATCATGTGGTAACAAACAATTGAACTGATTTCATTCAAGTCAAATAAATGATTTGAATGAAAAAACATACTTTATTATTATTATTTTTTTATTATTGTGTGCAAGGGATGCTGATTGAGGTTGTGAAGATTTTTCAAATCCTAATTCTTTGAAAAAGTTCTTTAAAAGTTCTCTCTCTGAGTATATTTACATTTTCAGCAGACGCTCTTATTCACAGTGGCTTGTATTCACTATAAGCCAACCAAAGTTAGCAGAACCCAAGTTTATAAAGCCAAAAGTCGGAAGTTTGTAGAACTTACAGGTCTACAATTGATCACACATACATATCATTGCAGTTGGAACACAATCTTGTATTTCCAAAAGGGGACCTTTATAAGAGAAGGACAAACATTCCAAATATTTCAATGGAAGATAATGTAAACATATGTAGAACTCACTAATGTAGAACTCAATGTTTCAGTATCACAGTTGATTTTTTTTTTTCTTTTCATTTTTCTTACCTCAACCCAATTGTTAAATTGGGATTGGGGGTCTTTTCTAGTAGTGCTGTTCCAGTCTAGTCAGGGAATCAAAATGATCCTTCGGATGCAGAGTGACGTGTTATCCACTGAGCTGTCCTCCTATTACTTCACCTGTTGCGTTATCCCTTGAACATTTCATTCTGTTAATGTGGATTATCATGTTCATACCCAGACAAGGACAGGGTCACAAGACTACTGCAAGTGCCGGGCACACAACTGCCCACAACAGTCGTACATTAACAGGAGTTCACATGCATGTTTTGGTACACCAAGACACTTTTTTCAGTTCTTCTCAATGGGAGAAATGTGTTTTGCTCACCGTTTTTATGCACTGGACATCTGCAGAGCACCTCAGGCACCCTGAACTGAACAAAATCAACACAATGTGGCCAATAGCCAACATCATGACTGTTCTGTTTTGTTGCTGTTTTGTGCTGACCAATCAGATCAAAAGTAAAGTGGGCCTTTGGTTGCAGCTGTAATGGTATATGTTTCACTCACTGAGTACCATTAATTGTAAAATTTTACAGATCCAATAATCCTAAAAAACATCTTTATTAAAACAATAGCTAACTAGCACAACTGAAAACAGTCACAACATGATTGTTGCTTAGCAATAGGAAGATGATGCTTCACCTCACAGGAAAATGACATTAATTCATAAGGGCTAATGCAAAAATACATATTTCTGCTGTTTGATCTGGGTGATTTCTCAGTGCTAAGGCATTTTTTTTTTTTAATGTAAGAAATGTGTTGTGCAAAATTTTAAGTTTTTATTTGGTTTGTTTCCCAAAATACTTCGAATAAGAAAAATACATGAATATGAATATAAACAAATAAAAAGATTTATTCTATTTCAAGAAAACTCAATTATAAACTTTTTGTTTCAGGTTGTGAGGCTGATAGGATTAAGTTAGCTAAATTGCTTGCTATCATGTGTGTTTCCACTGTCTCATTAGAGGGTTAGTGGTAGCTCTGGCCCTTTCGTTTAACATTCATAGCTGAAAATGAAGTCTTTTTTAAGTAAATATTAACCTTATTTGTGTCATAATAATAATCATATTGTGTGTTAGCCTACCAACTAAGTTACATGTATTAGTAACCAAAGAAACTTGATTTGACTTTATATAGACTTTATATAATCACTCGTCTCATGATGTTGCACTACTTTGGATAAGCTGTTGTTTTTGAGTGCAAAATGTTTATCATATTTTTTTTCTAAATTCTGCCTACTTTTTATAGTTTGAAACAAACATGCCAGGATATCTGCAGCAAACTGAGAAAATTAAATGTTAATAGAGATTTGATTTGACTGTTGATTACACTGGAGAAGAAGATAATAATATAATGTTATATAAAAAAGAAAATGAAAAACAAGCAAACAAAAATATCAGAAGCTAACCCAACAAAGGGGTTCAAATGAACCCAGTGCTAAGTCAAAGTAACCATATTTTGGGGTAACTCTAATGACCCAGCCTGTTGAGTTGATCATATAACCCAGTGATGCTGGGTCAGATTAACCCAGCATGTGTTCTGTTACATAGTGACTCAGTGCGGGGTGATAAAAAAAACACTCAAATTGGGTTTAATTTTAACCTGGCATTATTTTGAGTGTATCAGGACTTGAAAGCCTGTGAACCAGCAGGGCCCCAAACATAGACTGTATGTAGTGCTGGAAGTCAGTTCAAGTTGCACAGACGGTCGTCAGTCAGATTTTTTTTTTTTTTTTTCAATAAAGTTTGCCTCACCGCTTTTAGCATATTGGCATATTATTGTTGTTCTGACAAAACAATAATAAGCACCTAACAACCCAAACTGTGCTTTAGATGAACTCATGCATACGGTGAAAGAAAACACAGTAACGCGTAGAAAGCTCTGATGCAGACACATTTCACTCTGGCCAATGGGGACATCTATGTGTTACAATGTAAGATTTAAGTTTTAACCTCTTAAGTGGCCCAAAGTTTTATTACACACTTCTGTAATCTAAGAATAGCTCAGCCAGTTTGCAATTCCCTGTAGTTACTGAATACCTTAGTATGTAATTAGCCTGGGATTTAAGGGGTTAAGAGTTAGTGACCATGCGCAAAATCTCAGAATATTGTAACTCTTTAAAGCGAATATGGAGATTTTCAGGGCCATAAAAGTGGAAAGTTTTTGACTGTCCCAGTCAATCAGCTGACCTGAGATCAGTATTGTTATTGTGCTGGATGCTGGTGGTTATTCCTCTATGTGTGTGTGTCTGTGTGCCTGTCTTGCAGGGTGAGGGGGAGGTGGAGGAGCTGGGTGAAGAGAGTGAAGATGGTGCTACTGGCATGTTGACTCTGTTTGAGGTGACCCGCGCTCAAGCAGGACCTTACCAGTGCACAGCTGATAATGACATAGCACCCCCTGCCAGTGTGGTGGGACAGCTTATCGTCCGCTGTGAGTTTGACCCTTACAGAAACAAATTGCTCAAGAACTGCTTCATTTACTTTTAAGCTATCAGCGAGGTAACTTCAGCTTCAGCATAATTTCATAACAGCTCATAATTTTACAATATTTTATTTACCTGCAAGTTAACTTCTGGGTCAAATCTATAACACAGATACAATACAAGTCCAATATACACCCAAAAGTCTTTCTAGCTTTTTCCTCTGAGATGTCGGAACTTTGGTGTAAGTATTTGATTGCATTCAGCCACAAGAGCATTAGTAAGGTCAAGTACTGATGTTGGATGATCAGTTCTGGATCACTCCAGCTCATCCAAAAGGTACTGGATGGAGCTCCATCACTCCAGAGAACACAGCTCCACTGCTTCACAATCCAGTGCTGGGGGGTTTTATACCCCTCTAACCAACACTTGGTGTTGGGCATGGTGACTTTAAATATGTAATGTAAAACCTCCCCATCTTCTGGTCTCTGTGTGCTGCAGTTGCACCAGAGTTGCAAAAGGGTGCGCAGTGGAAGAAGGTGGCCAGTAGAGGGGATGGTACCACTGATGTGGACATTCTGTGCCAGGCAGAAGGCGTTCCACGTGTCACCTTCAGCTGGGCCAAGAATAATGTACCACTGGACTTCAACAACCCCAGGTATGCAGACATACACCAGGAAGATTTACATCATGTAGATTTGAAGTGTCCGGGTAGAGACACAAGTGGACAGTTTGAACATTACATAACATATTAACTAGAACTGGTAAGGGAAATGTACCATGAATACAGTTAAAATGACTAGAACTGTCTTTGTCCTGAACACTAGACCATACACATAACACAAGGAAGATATATATATATATATATATATATATATATATAATAATATATATATATATGTATTTTACATTGTGCATAAAATTAATGATGAATGGACCAGAAGAAATGGCTCAAAATGACTTGGAAAAACATCTGGTTCCATTGACTCACATGAAAAATAGTATATGTTTTTATATATATATTCTAAGCATCGTTTTGTAGCTCGTTTAAGACGTTCCTGCCTGGCTTTAAAAACGTCAGTTCTCACACTTTCCTCAAACTATGTTGAGGTGTTCAGTTATCCTTAATAGACTTGCTTCTGTGTCCTTTGACGCTATTGATGCTATTATCTATAAACATGGACTAAAGTACATTACATAACTGGAAGCAGAGCAGTTAGAGGAATGATTACCACAATCTGGATGTCAAAAGGAGTTTCATGTTTATTATTATGTTTATTGTCTCATAATTATCTACTCTTCAATAACGTGTTAATCTGCCCTCTAAGAAGTACATCCTGCTATTTAAGCATGAGATTCAGTGCATATTACATTTAAAATAGCCTCACTTGAATGCACCCTTAATGTGCTGATGTTGGTCAGCTGGTTGTTCAGGTAATGTGAGCTAATATGTATAATTTAATATTGGCACTATTTTAGATGAAAATGTCCCTGTGTGATGTAAGGGCCATTCTTGGTCTGTATATGTGTGTAGGTATATCGAGCGGACGGTCAGGGAGGGGGCCATCCACACCAGTACGCTGACTGTGGTTAATGTGAGTGCAGCGCTGGACTATGCCGTTTTCACCTGCACGGCCCGCAACAGCCAGGGGGAGGACAGTCTGGACATACAACTACTCAGCACCAGTACAGACACACACAAACACACACACACACACACACACACACACACACATACACACATACACACATTTTTTTTTATAAAGTCAGAACCTATTTTTATATGTGTTATAGATCATGTATTTTCAATAATATGTCCCATATGTAACATACATGTGATATATAGAGAACATATTATTATTGCATATAGATAATAGAACATCATGAAAAACACAGATCATGCATCAGTAATCTGCATTTTCGAAGCATCATGTTCAGCAAATTTCAAATGACTTTTTTATGTTTTCATTTTAGTTTATTTTCTGTTTTCTTGGGAGAGAGAAGATGTAAGTTTGATGTTTTTACATGAGAACTTGAGGAGAGAATGTTAAATATCCAACCAACATCCAACATAAAACCAGCTTTACTGTTCTATCACAGATAGAGCTATCAAAGTGTCGCAACATCAGGGTCAGCTCAGCTTTTTCAGTACTTCAGTATTTGCCAGATAAGCTTGAAAGTGGTTTTGTTCCAGTCAGTCTGTAAAGCGTTTCACAGCTCACCTTGTTTACTGAATTGTGTTCTGTTCATTTCTGGATAATTCTAGTTTGTTAAGTTACGTAGCAGATGTACTTTCATTTATACATTAAAATAAGCAAATAAATTAACAAATGAACAAAGAAACAAATGCAACAAAAACGGCAACATACAACAACAACAGCAACGGCAACAACAACAACAATAATAATCATAATAATAATAATAATAATAAAAAAACATGGAGCTTTATTAAAAGGAGATCTTTAGTTAGAACCATTTTGTTGCTCATTTAGGTCACTCAAGATTTTTCTTGCTTTTTAAAAAAAGTCAGTTCTGTGTGCGCTCTCTCTCTCTCTCTCTCTCTCTCTCTCTCTCTCTCTCTCTCTCTCTCTCTCTCTCTCTCTCTCTCTCTCTCTCTCTCTCTGCTTTCTGTCTAATTGTATCTATCTCTTACATTCTGTTCTGTTCTTTCTTTCTTTCTTTCTTCTTTCTTTCTTTCTTTCTTTCTTTCTCCTTCAGTCCCATCTTACTATTCTCATTTCCTTTCCTCCATTTAATATTATCCTCTCCTCCTCCTGCCTCTCTCCCTTTCTCTATTTTTTTTTCTGTTATTAGTGAGGCTTCCTCCCAGCAGCTTCATCCCTCCACCCCCCACCCTTCCCCCTCTGTCTTTCTTCCGGCAAGTTCTCTGGACTCAGGCGGAGACGTTTAATGTTTACCATAAAAACCATGAAATACAATCCAATATTCGCCGTGCCCCCCTCCTCTATTTTTACTGCCGTGAATATTCATAATTAATCTGACGCAGCGATAATAAATCTTATATGCTTCTTATCATCAGAAGGCTGTGGGAGAAAAATAGCCCAGATTTCGCTCCGTGCTTTTTTTCTCTGTTTTTTAATGTGAACGAGTAGGCAAAGAAAGAAGGACTGACCCTTCTGCCCCTCCGTCCCGAGAGTGAGAGCAGATAATTGCTATTTACTCAACCAAGTGAAATGAATGAGGACATATTTTCATCTCTCTTTCTCTTAGTTTCTCACTCCTTCTTTACCTCAGTGACTCGCACACATGAAATGCGCACTTTTTCCTCTCACTAAAATATGCAAACACATTCCCCAGCTCTCCTTTATTAAGATAACAGTGATCTGAAATTTGGCTAGCAGCTGTGTATGCAAAATTATACAGTCAGTGGCCACTTTATTAGAAACACCTACAGTCTTAGTAAAAAGTATAGTATTAAAAAAAGGTTCTATGATTTGCAACAGTAGCAAAACCCTTTTTGGTGCTATACACTGATACATATATACAATATGTTTTCCATCATAGAGAAGAACCATTTAACCATGCAAAGGGTTAATAAGCATTTAAGTGGTTATGGTTCTACATATGACCTTTGCCTTTGCTAAAGAACCCTTAAACCTTTTAAGCATGTCCCTTCTGCTTACATTCTTTGAGCTCCACCTGCATTGTACATCCACTATATATACAGTGCTGTGAAAAAGTATCAGCCCCCACTCGATTTCTTCTGTTTTTGCTAATTTGTCAAATTTAAATGTTTCAGATCATCCAACTCATTTTAATATAAGATAAAGACAACACCACAAAAACGCAGCTTTGAAATGATCATTCCATTTCGTGAAGATGAAGATTCATTCAAAGCCTGTATTACCCAAGTGAGAAAGTAATTGCTCCCCAAACCTAATAACTCATTCTGCCTGCCTTGGCAGTAGCAACTGCAATCAAACCTTTGTGATAACTTGCAATGAATCTTTTACATCGCTGTGGAGGAATTTTAGCCCACATTTCTTTGCAGAATTGTTTTTTTCATACGGCAGGTTTAAAAGCATGAACTGCCCATTTGAGGTCTTGCCACAGCATCTCAAAGGGATTCAAGTCAGGACTTTGGGCCACTCCAAAACCTTAATTTTGTTTCTTTTGAGCCATTCAGAGGTGGACTTGCTTGTGTGCTTTGGATCATTGTCCTGCTGCGCAACCCAACTGCGCTTAGGTCACAAACTGATGGGCAGACATTCCCCTTCAGGATTTCTGATAGAGCCTTTGTGTTCTTATTGTTCAGCAGTATTTGCACCTTGCAACTCTTCCATGGATGTCATTTTGCCCAGTGCCTTTGTTATTGTGGAATCATGTATATTGACCTTAACTGAGGCAAGTGAGGCCTGCGGTTCTCTAGATGTTCGTCTGGGTTCTTTTGTGACCTCCTGAATGAGTTGTCAATTCGCTCTTTGTGAAATTTTGGTAGGCCAGCCACTCCTGAGAAGGTTCACCGCTGTTTCAAGTTTCATTGCTCTCACAGTGGTTCGCTGGAGTCCCAGCCCCTCAGCAATGGCTTTGTACCCCTTTCCAGACTGGTAGATTTTAATGACTTTGTTTCACATCTGTATTGGAATCTCTTTAGATATGTCATCATGAGACCTTCTATCCTGCATCACATTGCCATTCAGGTTCTACGTAAGTAATGTTTAGGTTCAACAAGTCTGGCAGTAATCATGCCTGGGTGTGGCTAGTGAAACTGAACTCAAAAGTCAATTGAATTTGGTTAACTGGTTGATTTAGTAGCTAAGGGGACAATTACTTTTTCACATATGGCCAGGTAGGGATGAATAGGACTTTTTCCTTCAATATATGAAATCATCATGGGTTATTTCTTCTAATATTAAAAGTAGTTTGATGACCTAAAACATTCAAGTCTGACAAATATAGAAATGCAAAAATAGAAGACACTGGGGAGGGGGCAAATACTTTTTCACAGCACTGTAACTGCACACTATATACAGCTGTAGTCCATCTGCTGCTGCACTATTTATAACCCCGCCACCCTTTATGCCATTACTCATTGGTTAGCTTCTGACCACAGGACCACAGTTGACCAGATATTATTTGGGTGGTGATCCATTCTTAACACAGCAGTGACACTGATATGGTGGTCTAAGTGGTGCTGTTTCAAGTGTATCGGACACGGTGGTGTTGCTGGGCTTTTTACATATGTGAGAGTGGTCCACCACCCAAAAATGTTCAGCGGATCTGTGGTAAACTGACCATTGATGAAGCACTAGAGGATGACTAACATAGGCTGAGTTTTCCCAAATGTGATGTAAGAATAAGATGCTTTTGGGAAACTGGGCCTCAAACTGTGCATCAGTAGATGGGCTACAGTCTCTAATGTACGTAAAGGTCTGCCACCTGATCCAAGCTGAAAGAAGCCCAGTGAAATATTGGATTTGGTCTGGGCCATTTTTTAGCATCTGGCTCAGGTCTGGTTTCTATTTCTATTTGTCTCTATTTATCTGCATCTATCTATCTCTACTATAGTCTAGTACATATCCAATAAAGCCTGTCTCACTGATCACCATGAAACAAATAAAAAGGAATTTTGTTAAAGAAGAACTCATTAAAATTTTCAAAATGAGACCCCATCATGTATGACCTGGTCATTATATCAGATAAAAAGCCCTTGTGATTATACTATCAGCTATGATAGCAAGAGAACTGGCACGTCATCTTCTCAGCAACACATTTACTGTGCACGCCGCTGTTCCCCAGCAGCCACTAGCCAGAAACAAATGACAGTGTCTAATTACTTTCTCACACCAGTGAGGTCAGTGTTGGCTACAGCAAACTCTCGGATAAGTGAAAAGTTTATTTGGTTCATTTTCTGTCGGTCAGCTTAAGTGTTTAGTAACAAAGCAAAGCACTGTATCGAATGAGTTCGGGGCCAGGTTTGAAGTTTAGCAGGTTTAGGTTGAGCCTCAAAGTTGCAGATAAAGGTTCAATTTCATGCCTGTGCAGACCTCTAACTGTGTTTCTAATAAACTGGCCACCTGCGTCAATGTCCTAAAACTGGAACGTCTTAATTACCATGATCATACATTGTCTTTTTCAGGTTACCCAGACCCCCCTTCAGATCTGAAGCTGCTCAGTGTCTCTTCCAGTTCCGCCACTCTGGAGTGGATGCCAGGCTTTGATGGAGGCCTGATCCAGAACTTCCGCGTCAGGTGAGTCACAGAGATGCTGACTTACTCTATGTTCGCATTAGGATTCTTCGAGTCGCTAAGGTCGCCTGAAGTTTTTCTCTTGTGGGTGTGCTTGTGGCTGTTCTTGTTGCCAAGTGTGGGCATGTACAGTGCTAAGCTTCTGATAAGAAAGTGTAAAAATATGCACTATATATGTATTGCTATGAAACATGAATATAAGTTTACAAGCTTATAAGTTTTTCTTTGATAATTTTGTGATACTGTTGGAAATAGGAATGAAATACCAACAGAAACAGAAAGTTTAGAGAGCCGTGGCTGGGGACCTCAGTGTCTACGATTTTGTTTGAGCCAATCAGTTAGATTGTCGCTTCATCACATCATAATTCATTTGCCTAAAATTGAGAAAACTCAACCTGTCGCTGTGTTGCTTGCTGTTAAGATCATGGCTACGTATTGCATCCTCCCAAAGGAAATGACTGGACGCCTATCATTTGGTTGCCTGCAAATTTTAAAGTAAGGTAACACTGCAAGTCCAAGGTGTATCTAAAGCCCCATTCCAACTGGATTAGTTTAACCTGAGAAGGTGCTGTAATTTGATGTATTCATGGATGTTAATCAAAGTCTGCAATGTTCATTGCAGATATTCAGTACAAATTACTGTCTGTAATTCAGTGAAACCTTCAGTAAGACTTCAAGGCAAAGCAATAACAAAACTTGCCAATAGATACAGGCGCATATTGATGGTGACCCGGCAGACAAGGCTAACTGCTGAAAAAGAGACTGACTAAGCACAAGTTGAAAACAGAGCTGTAATCTATAACATTTTTTTTGGTGATGGCCTAATTACAAGGTGAATAAAAATGAAACATCTCAATAGTACCTCTCACAAAGCAATGGAATGTCTTATTGGGTGGCATTTGGTTATTTGAAGGAGCTCAGCTTACAATACTACACACTTAAAAAAGATGATTCTTCAAGGGTTGCTTAGTAAAGGCATTCTATATAGAACCATTTCATGCCTAAATGGTTCTTTATATGCTGAAATAATGATGGAGAATGTGTTGTATATGATTCTAAATAGAACTTTTGGTAACACTTTACTGTAGGGTGCTGTTCACAAGGCTACATGACACCTACATAAGGTTGTCTTGACAACTGGCATAACCCTACATACCTATTCATACATGCTTATTACAATAGGCATCATTTGTCAAAGATTACTTTAGCTGACTGATCAAAATTGGCCAATTTAACCTTCATTTTGTGTTTTGTCATAAGCATTTATAAACAGTTGTGCAAGGCTATGTCAGTTATCATGACAAGCTTATGTAGGTGTCATGTAGTTTCATGAACAGCACCCTACAGTAAAGTGTTACCGAACATTTTAAAAATTGGTTCTATGTGGTACCAAAAGGGATCTACTAATGTCACAACGTCAAGCTCATAACAAAAGAAGAATCCTTTTCGTGCTATATCCAAGCATTTTCAAAAAGGTTTATATAGAACCATATACAACTCATTCTCCATCAATCTGAAGAACCACTTTAACCTGCAAAGAAACATTTAAGCTTGAAATTTTCCTGTACAGAACTCATGTTTCTAAATAGAACCATTACCTTAATTAAAGAACCCTTGAATAACCATATTTTTAAATTGTGTAAGGCTATTCTATTTGGCATCAACTGGAAGTTAGTTGTTTGCTTAGTTGCCACATTTTAAACTTAACCCCTAAGCTTAATGTCCGGCTATAGTGTTTTGATCCTGGCTATTTGGGGTACTTTGGGGAAATTACACAGATATTTTATCCCATATGAGTCCCTTGCAAAATACATCGCCAGACCTTTAAAATTCAAACTAGGTCTAATGAATGTAATCTAATCCAGGTTGATTAAGGCTTAAGAAACCATAGTTCATATATCATTGACTCAAAATTGGCCAATGTAATAATAGCATCATACTGAAACAGCACCTAGTTTTAATTTTTAGCTCTTCATATCACTTTGTATAATATTTGTCACGAACTTTTCTTGTAAATCTTGTTTGACCAATGGACAGGTATCGGTGGGCGGGGTCTGCCAGTTATCTCTATGTGGATGCCTTTCCTCCAAGAGCCACTGTCTACACAGTCACCGGCCTGAACCCTTCCACCACCTACAACTTCTCCGTCAATGCCATTAACTCCATGGGGGAAAGCAGCTATGCCGACAATGGGGCAGTACTGACCGTCACCACCTTGGGTCAGTACAGACCTCTTGTGGTACTGTCACATTGAGCAATGGGATAAACAAGTCCTAAAGCACTGTCCAGGGTGTTTTGGTAGATAACGTGTTTACCTGTCTAGCTTATTGAACAGTTAATTGACAACATTTATATACATTCCCTCACTGGCCATTTTATTAGAAACCCCTAGCTTACTGGTGCCTCAGACTGTAGCCCAGCTGTTGATCCAAAGTTTGTTTTAACCAACCTCTAGTTTCAGACCACAGAGCCAGTCTTGGCTGGATATTTTTGGGTTTTGGACCTAGAAGTGACACTGCCATGCGTAAAAACCAGAAGAATAGTCCACTACCCAAATAATATCTGGACAACAGCAGTTCTGTGGTCAGAAACTCTGGTCAGATAGACTACAGGCTGTAATTGTACACCTTTATAGTGGACCTATAAGGAGCTGTGGAGTCCATAAAGTGACCAGGTGGGTGTTGCTGATAAATGAGCTGTATCATCATGCAAGCAACATTCACATTGGTGTGTTAAATCGTTGAAAGAGGGAACTGAAGACAGGTTGCATGCATCGAGTGCAAGATCTGTGCCGTAGTGCTGAGAGCCACGTTTGCTGCCGAAGCAATCACTGTGTGACCAATCATCCACTAGAGTGGGTGCAGTGTGAGCATATTGTTGTGGAAAAACAAGCCTTGTTGGAATAAACGCTGCAGAAGCATTGCCTGGAGCATGCAATTCTCTTTCTGCACATAAAACACTGCCAGAGAATTTTACCCCATGACATGAAATTGGGATATTCAAGATCGATTTTACAGTTTAGTGTTTGTAGAAGTTAACTGCAGTCTTAAAAGGCCCATATCTTACATTTTTGGCAGCTTATAATTTATATGGGTTTTATGTGACGTTCACTTTTACATGACTGTTTTCTAGCCCCTCTTTATCCATTAGACTTAAACAGGCTGTTTTTTTTACTATGCTTTTAAGACAGTGCTGTTCTGATTGGCCCCGTATTGTTCCTTATTCACAAAGCAGTCTGGACCGAAACACTCCTTATAACTTCAGTGTGAATAGGAGGAGCTAAAGTGCTGTAGGCTGATTAAGTGGATATTTGTGAATACATTTGTTTTAATGACCACACACACGAAAACAAACAAACAAACAAACAAGGCAGTTTTTGCAGCCTGCTTTGCATATATGGACTATATGGACTAACCAATGAATGGAAATGTTGAAACTATGTTTTTACATACACATCGGGCTCTACCCTCTTAAAAAAGATGGATCTTCAAGTGTTCCTTAGTAAAGAAAATGGTTGTATGTAGAACCATATTGTTCTCTAATGTCTTTCTGTAACAAGCTTGATATCATAGCAATAGAAAAAACATTTTGGGGCTATATAGGACCCTTTTCATAAAGGTTCTATATAGTACCATGTACAGCCCATTCTCCATCAATCTGAAGATCCCTCTTACGATCCTTTAATCGTGCAAAGGGCTCTTTGGCTTTGTTCACACAGCAGGTCAAAGTGGCCCAAATCTGATCTTTTTCTTAATATGTGACACAGATGTGTCTGTGTGAACAGCCAAAAACACATTGAATCAGACGCATTCATATGTGATATATGTGAAATCCAATCCGTATCCAATGTGCAGTAATGCGACTCAGTCTGAACAGCCAGATCGGAATTCATGCGACTTTTACGTCAATCCAACTCGACATTCATCATCATTTTGCACTGCTGAGACCTCATAAACATTTAGGCTGATGTTTCCATACAAAAATTAGAAGAGACGTATTGCAACCGCTCCGTGTTCGAAGAGATTTTGAAAGAAATGGCCAAACGCTGCTGTAGGAGAACGAGGCTGCAGCGTCAAAGAAAAGTCTGAAAGCAAAGTTTAAAGAATCTGAGGACTCGAACCAAAGAAGTGACCGTGACCTTTTAATGGCAAGCCCTGAACACATTCTGGGAGAGGAGCCCAGCTGTCAGTCAATGAAGCTTCCTGATGGCTCCTGTGATGCTGGTGAAGGTGAAGCTGAAAGCTCCAGGAGCGACTGGCGTTCATTGACAGTTATGATTGGATGACCGTGTCATGTGAAGCATTGTTCTTTTGCACATGTGGGTAAGTTTAGCAGCTGATCTCTTCAGACCAATGTCAGATATAAGTCACATCTAAAAGATATTGTGAACAGCCAAACAAAAAAAAATTTATTTGGTGAGAAAATTACATTTGGGCCACTTTTACCTGCTGTGTGAACGTAGCCTTTAAGTGTTCATGGTTCTATAAAGAACAGTTTTCTTTGCTAAAGAACCCTTGAAGAACCATTAATTTTAAGTGTGTATTATTAAAAAAAGGAAAACTGCTTTTCCATAATATTTGCACTATAAAAAGCCAATCGTTATTATTATTTTCAAGCATCTCTTAAAAGACATGTGTAAGTACAACTCTGTTATTATTACTATTAAAGAGCAAATGTGTTGCTGTCACAACAAAAAAAAATCATATCTCAAAAATGGGAACTTTACAGGAGCAGAAAAAACATTCTTAACTTTGAATAGAAATGAAGGAACAGTGACTTTTTAAATAATTTTGGAGTATTTCTATTGGCCCATTCATTGATATTTTAACCTTGTAAAGAGCAGATGGCATTCAAATTCTGTAAAAACATTACAAATGCCGAAAATGAAGATTTTTTAAGGTTTTCTTTCAACAGCAATGATGTATAAATAATATGCTAAGGAAGAGAATTTAAAGGCCAGCATGTTTAAATAACGAACTGTAACCAAATCTAATTACTGAAAAGTCACAGCAGTATTAAGAAATATGCATTTGAATTTAGAAAGCCCTTTAAGATGTCCCCCTACAAGACATTTAGAACACAGTAAACAGAAACTACATTAGCGGCTCCAAAGTTTTGTTTCAAAAGCTTAATGCAGTTATAGCAAAATCAGCACAACGAAAGAGATATTACAGAGTAATACAGATACAGGGTTATTACTCTGCGTCTGCTGCTACAAGCAATTAAGAGTTTGGGGGTTAAGCCTGGTTTGCTTCAGAAAGCAGACGGCGAGCAAAACCCGACTGATTGTGTGCGAGCTGGAAAACAACACACTCAGATTGCAGCAATCATGCTGTGTTGTGCCGGATCCGTCCCGTTAAACCACATCGTTAGCACCTCCGCCCACTCTCAAATCACTGCAACACGCAAACTTCTGGAGTTCTGCAGCTCTGTGCTAAATTATGATGTGTTGCTTTGGTTATTAGATGAAAACAAAGCAAGTTTTGAGCGTCATCCGATCTGTGTGGTCTTACACGGCTGTTGATTGATGTCGCTCTGTTTTTGTGCTACCAGTCAGAGGTCTGAGAATACACTGAAACTGTTTCGTTTTTGTTTCATAATTGGTAATGTTTAATTTGCCATGTTTGCATTAATAACTGCTTCATTTGGTTTTAGTAGCGCAGAACAATTGGGTCTTCTTAACTTCCATAACTTCTTTAAGAGACTGAAATGTTCTTGGTTGATTTTCATTAATATGTAGACAATTACAATGTATTAATTGGACAACATTCTTAAATGAAGTCACACATGACACAATGGTACACAGCTTGTTTGGACAGCTTAACCTGTCTTATTATTCAGTTTTTAATCTTAAGGCTTTTTATTCAATATCTACCATGACGTACCTGGTAATCAATACACTAATGTGCAAGTTCTGTGGTTATGAGAGGGAGGAACTGAAGTGTTGACCCACAAGCTGGCCATGAAAGAACTTAACAAGGCAGTGATTAGGTCAGGGAATTTTAGAGTTTACAGATCTTCTAATAATAAATTAATAGAATAATAATCTGTGCTTTACATTCTGACTACTTATTATTTGAAGTTCAATGGCTTCCAAATTTTAAGTTGAATAAATTATCCAGTGCTTAGGACCAATCACAGCAAGGGGTGGTCTTAGAATAAATTATACAGTGCTTAGGGCCAATCACAGTCAGGGGGAGAGGTCTTAGAATAAACAATGTGGTGATTAGAGCCAATCACAGTTAAGAGGAGGTATCAAAACAAACAATGCTGTGATTGGGAGTTCTGTTTAGCAGTTAGCACACATTTACTGAGACCACCACATAGTTTTGACCGAATGTTAGCCAAAGATGCTAACATTGCTAAAAATAAATGAAAATTGAATAGCCATGAATTAGCCTTATACAAATTACATCATGCTAACTGATGGCTATTAGCTTCCATTCATTGGTAATGACATAAGCATGTTTGGTCAAGCTATACTTTTATAAATAGACAGACAGACAGACAGACAGACAGACAGATAGACAAAACAGTTTGTTGATCCCCTTAGAGGAAATTCTGGAGTTAAAAAAGCTGTAACAAGTTAGCCCCTTACCAAGCTGTGGGCCCTTCAGCAGGCCCAAATTTCATTACACACTTCTATAACCAAAGAATAGCTCCATTAGTTTGCACTGAAGTCCCTGTAGTTACTGAATAATAAGACTTAGTGTGTAATAAGCCTGGAATATTAATAAATATTAATATTAATAAAGAAATAGATAATTCATTGACTTTCTTGGGTTTTATTGTGGGTTGACTATAAACAAAGTGTGTGTGCTGATGCTGATTCTCCTCTTTCCCCCCACCCCCCACCCTCCAACCCTCTGCAGATCGCGAGCCCGTTCCCAGCGAGCCTCAGCCAGAAGTGCCGGACTCCTCCGAAGGTGCTGTGCTTGCGTTTCTGCCTGCCCCGTCAGCCTGTTCACAGATGGCTTTCCGCTGCTGCTATTCATCAAGCTCAGAGCGCCTCTGTCATTCCACATTTCAGATCAATATCTCCGCTCATAAGGCTAATTTGCGAGGCCTTTTCTCATGCACTATGATATAGCTACCAGCCATAATGCAGCTGGGACGTGATGTCAGCCCTGATGTAATCGCATGCAATCCTGCAGGACTGGTAGAGCCAAGCTTTGAAGGTTTGTTAGGTAGCAGCCACTGATGGATAGTGTAATGTTTGCATGTTGGTGTCACCACGAGCCAAATGACCAGCGAACTCCCTGTGTTGCATTGTTAGTTTTAGATTTTTTTTATTGCCATCATACTCCAGCGTTAGAGCTTGATATTGTAACATGGTAAAAGTTCATTTGAATTGCTTCATAGGGACTTTGTAACATATGAATAATCGTTGAATAACATATTTATAGAGCAATACTTGAGTATTTCTGAACTATGCCAGTAATTGCAATGTTTAAGGAAGTAAATGACACTGTATTGACATAAAACTAAAGAACTGATCTAAAGCGATTGACATATACATTTATAACACTGTTATGAAGCATCATTCCTAAGTAATGGTAACTAGTAGGGGTGGGAATCTCTAGGCACCTCACGATTCGATTACGATTCAGAGGGCTGCGATGCGATTATAAAACGATTATCGATGCATCTTTTTTTTCTATACATCATTTCTATTTTTTCACTGAGGACTTTGTAGTTTTAAAGCAAAGTATTTGTAATGATCCATAATGAATTTACTTCCAATATCTTTTATTAATAAATCAAATGGAAGTGATGTGGCAAGTGAACTAGAAGGCTCTCATTCACTGCCTTTGGAGCACGAGACGCTGCTGCTACTCATCTGCGATAAAATGCGCAGTTATGGTGAAATAAGATCCAGTGGTAATGGATGTCCATGCAGCATGTTACAGCCGTCCTACCCGTTTTTAGTGACTTTATAACTTTGGTTTTGGTCTCGTTGTAGAGAAAGGGGTGGGGGGGGGATCAAGACGGGACGTCTGCAACATTGTTGTGAAAGCCCTGTTTCGCCACGACTAAGAATTGCCGTGCAGACTGTAGGTCACATAGTAGCGATGCGTTATTCGCATTTATAAGCAGCGCAGTTGGTTTCCTGGTACGTTAAATCTGCAACGAGAGACTGTCAAACAGTAAAAAGCGGCGAAGCTGAAGTTGCTTCTCTTCCGAATTTTCTCATTCCACCTTAAATGGTGCCACATTTACATTCGGCGCCTCAGTCAGAATTTAAGGTGGAACGGGAAAATTCGAACATGAAGCTGGAGAATAAGAAGTGACTTCAGCCTCGTAAGACAGTCGAATGTTGAGAGACATTTTACAAGAAACTGCTCTAGTTTTGAGGAAAAGTTTTCTGGCGGAGATGGGAGGAAAGCGGCTGTAGGCGAAGCTTAATGCAGGGTAGAGTAAATCGGCGCTCTCGTTTATATTGTTTAGCCTATACTAGGACATCAGCACATACTGAGACATACTGGACATTAAATGTTGTGGCTCCCAAGCTGGTTTGAGTTTTGTGTTGTGACTCCTGACCTAACCTGGCTTTAATGCAGAGGGAGCCGGTCGGATTTCTCACTCATCCAGTTGTGTTTTTGTTATGTGCCGCCACAGACTGTCCGGGCGCTGCACTTACCCACTTCCAAGTTCCGCCTTTTGCGTTCCGTCAAAATTACATTATAAATTAAATATTTGGAAAATCGATTTTTGACATTTCTGAATCGATTCAGAATCGTTCACGTCTGCATCGCGACGCATCTAAGAATCGATTTTTTTTCCGCACCCCTAGTAACTAGTAATTCCTAGTTAAGAACACCATTCCCTGCTCATCATCCACTGCTTATGTCGGTAGTCTTCAAATAAAGTGATATCTTTAGTGCTAGCTAGCATAGCAGTAATAAAGTAGCATGTCATTGTTATTTAAAAAAGTACAAATCTGAGTCTGACAACTATAATAACGCCAAGTGCCAAATTCCAGTTTAACAAATTACATTTGAGATCCGTTAAATGATTATATTTTGGCATCCAATCAAAGGTTTTTAATAAATATTAATCACAATTGATACATGATGGAATGCACTAATGCAAAACAACTAAATGTTATTTTTTAGTTATATTCTTTATACTTTAATTAACATTATTCATTTTTATATAAGACGTTTAGGCCATCTTTCTTTTATGAGGTATGTTGAGTTTGTGATCTTTTACAAATCACAACATATACATCTATGAAGACACTGCAACACTGGCTGGTGTTGAAAAGAAAGAAAAAAACAAACAAACAAACAAACAAAAAAACATTGTGTTATTCCTCATAACAGAATTTGTGTAAACAGATGTGGTAAATAATCAGAAGTAGTCAGAATACACACACACCCTTAGCTGCTTGGTGACACAGTTTTTCTGATGCTGCTTCACTGGAAAATGTAACATCTGGTTTGCCACTTTGCATCTACCATCATAATGTAAATGCAGCATAAGGGTCAGTAAACTGTTAAAAGAAACTGTAACACTTCACTTGAACCCTGATACAGAACACTGACATAACCATGCCATTGACATCATAGCAGTTATTATATAGTCACTTTTCAAAAACACTCCTTTTTTTCTGATTCTTTTTTTTTCTATGTCATTTAAGCACAGCAGCCGCCCTTTACAATGTGTGAAAATGTAATGATAAATAAAAAGAAGTGCTCCGAAATTGCTTGGAATAAAATCATCTGTAAATTAACTTAATTTTTGGTCCTGAGTGGCACAACCGTCTAAGCGTTGGCCCTATCATCAGGAGATCGCGAGTTGCGACAATTGCCCCCCCCCCCTTAATCTCTCAGCGTGATGCTAGCCAGTGCAGGCATCTGTTAGCTGACGTAACAGTTCTGGCGGTTGGCGCTTTCCCTGGCATTCGGTTGTCTAATGACACTGCGTTAGTGGCAGTTCGAAAAGATGCCGTGGCTTCACAGGACTCAGAAGAAGCCTGTGCTAGCCTTCACCCTCCTAGCGCTGGTGGTATTGTGTGATTGGGCGGAGTCCTAACTAGCGGGTGGAATCGAACACGACTAAATTGGAAAATGCCATTTTGGAGATACTTATTTTTCTTTGTACAGCGACAATGTGCTGAGTTGTTACCACTATCTGTAACTATAATGACAGCTGTAATAATGTTTGATGTTATGATGCTAATTTCCTGTGTACTCTAGTTCGCCATCATGACAGCAAACATTATGAACTCTGTCGAGACAACTAGCGGTAACAGTAACATGACACTGTTTTATAATTGGACATAAGCTGTTATGGCATCTGGTATGACATGTTTATGGCAAGGTTATGTCAGTGCTAAATAGAAATTTAGACGTGTGCAAAAAAGTATTTAGAAGTGAATGAAAGTGAGTATTTGTGCTAGCTGGGCAGTGGGAGTGTTACATATCACAGCATGCGGTGTTTGCCCTAAATGTGAGCCAAGTAATTGGACTGGAATAGGCACTAGATTCAAACCGAGGCTGAGCTGAATGTTGCAGCATGCGGCATATGACCCGGATGTGGGCCGATCTAATAAATAGCGGCATGTGTTGCTTGGCCCGGATGAGCATTTGGGCCAGAATTGGGCCTATATTCAAACCAAGTCTGGGCTGATAATGCTCAGGCTTTGTCGTCATGCATTCGGACAAGATGTAGCCTGACTGATTTTGTTATCTGTACTGCAAAAAATTATATCTTAACAAGTGAAAACTTCTTAAATGTAGTGAATAAATCTAATATTTGTCATTATGAGGCTGTTGTAAGAATATTATAAGATTATTCCACCTATTTTTGTACATTTTTACTTGTTTTAAGTGATTTTATCTACTGAAAGTTTCTTATTCCATTGGCAGATTAGTTTACTTGTTTTGAGAAATAATGAAGATAATTTTGCTCCTTTGAAGAATTAATGCTTAAAACAAGTAACTTGATGTGCCAATGAAATAAGACACTTTTATAAGATACAACTGTTTAAAAACAAGTTAAAATGTCTAGAAATAAGTTAAATAGTCTTATAATATTCTCACGACAGTCTTATAATGCAAAATAGTAGATATATTGACTACATTAAAAATGTTTACACTTGCTAAGCTATAACTTTTGCAGTGTAGGAGTTTATTCAGCGTTGACAAGTAAGACATTGAAACAATATTGCGATATCAACGTTGATTCACTTTTCAAAATTAAAAACAAAATTAGACGGAGATTCAATCTTGATTCAACCGGCTGTTCGTCTTACCCAGTAAACAATTCAAGTCACGTTCTGACCAGGCCCTGCATTTAAATAGACCGTTTCCTCATGGTAGATTCTGCATGTCTGTTTTTAGCCCATTTTCTTTGGCATTAACCATCACTCATCAGTGACAGACTCTGTTTGAGCTGCCTGCGCTGGAGCTGTGCTCAAAAGCTGCACTTTGATGTCTCACTTTGATGTTCACTGACATGCAGTATAAATGAATGCAAATGCACTTGTCATGAATCCATCACAAGGGCGTATGTCTGTATTAGTGTTCCAGTTTAACATAAACGCGCTGCCGCGTGTTCATTGCCTCTCACTGTTCCGTAATGTGGGTTGTTTCTACAGCCTCCGCTGTCCCAGTCTACGCCATAGCCGTCCTGGTTGGAGGGCTCCTCCTGCTGCTCAACGCGTTAGGCTTCGTTCTGTTCGCCCGGCGGAAAAGGGGGCGGAGTCTGAAAGGTGAGGAACGGGGGAGCTCATTTAGTGTCACTTCTTCACCGCCGCGCTGTTAGACAGCGCGTCCTAGGCTGTAGACTGTTCTACTTACCGCGGCGACAGTACAGCACTCAAAAAGAACAGCCTGTCTGAATCCTAATATGGCTGTCACTTTCAAATCCATCTCTCTCCCTCTCTCTCTCTCTCTCTCTCTCTCTCTCTCTCTCGCGCTCCCTCTATCATTTCACCCTCTTCTCCTCACCCATCTGCCACCTCTTCCTCCCTCAGCAGCTGTCATTTTTAATTCTCCGTCTTCTTCCCCTTATCATGGCCCTTTTCTCCCTCCCTCCATCTCTTTCTCTCTCTCTCTCTCCCTCCATCATGTCTCTCTCTCTCTGACTCTTCCTACCCCCTTCCCTCAAACTGTCAGGTGTCACTTGTCTTTCACCCCTCTTCTCCCTCTCTCTCTCTCTCTCTCTCTCTCTCTCTCTCTCTCTCTCACCCACACACACACATGCTGTCTTTCTCTCTCTGTTTCTTCCACTCTTTCTCTTTGATTCTCCCTCTTTCTTTCACAGTCTCCTCTTTTTCTTTCTTTCTTCCCTATTTCTGTCTCACTTTATCTATCTTTCTCTCTTTCTTTCCCTTTCTCTCTCTTTTTCACTCTTTTTTCTTTCTCTCACTCACTCTATTTCTCACTTTCTCTCTTTCTCTTTCTCTCTCTCTCTCTCTCACTCCCACTGTTTCTCTTCTTTTTGTCTCTCTCTCTCACTTACTCTCTTTCTCTTTGCTATCCCTCTCTTTTTCACTTTCTTTTTTCTCTTTCTGTCACCCACTCTATTTCTCTCTCTGACACACACGTTCTCTCTGTTTATTTCTGTTTCTCACTCACTTTCTCTTTTTCACTCTCTCCTTTTTATCTTTCTCACACTCTATTTCTCTCACTTTATCTCTCTTTCTTTCTCTCTCTTTCTTTCTGTATCTGTCTCTCTCACTCACTCTCCCACTCCTTCACTTTCTCTTCCTGTCTCTCACTTTCTCTCACTCATTCTTTTTCTCTTTCCCTTTCTGTCACCCACTCTATTTCTCTCTCTGACACACACATTCTCTCTGTTTATTTCTGTTTCTCACTCACTTTCCCACTCTTTCATGCTCTCTTCTTTTTGTCTTTCTTTCTTTCTCTCCCTCACTCTATTTCTCTCTTTCACTTTCAATGTCTGTCTCTTTTTCACTCTCTCCTTTTTGTCTTTCTCTCACTATTTCTCTCTTATACACACAACTTCTCTCTCTCTCACCCTTTTCTTCTCTTTCCTCTGTCTCTTTCTCTCTCTACCTCTGTCTCTCACTCTTTTGTCTCGCTTACTTTCTCTTTCTCTCTACCTCACTCTGAACTGTCTTTCTCTCACTATTTCTCTCCCTGTCTGTTTCTATCTCCCTCCTTTTCTTTTTTGCCAATTTTTTTGCCACATTATTGCCAAAGCAGTTAACAAGAAGTACTTAAACATAAATTAGAGAAAGATAATATTATAGATTACAGTGACAAACTATTTAATATTAATTTATTTGTGGGATTATTAGTAACTGATAAAGGAAAAGGGTGAAAGAATAAGTTATAATCAGTAATAATCAATAATAATTAGTTGTTATCTCATTGGTTGTCCCTCAGGTTGTGAAGGCTGTCTCATATCTCACTGTGTGTGTGATCAGCTCTTCTCTCCTAACACGTACAGCGGTTTCTCAGAGTCACTGCAGAGCTCAAACTCAGGACAGACGCTGCTCACTTTCTTATAGAACTCATTTCTAATGGAGTCATATTTAGAGGTCCGTGTTACGAAGACCAGCTCCGTCTCCACCACTGAGAGCTCAGTCCAGCCTCTCTGAGTGACCAGCTCTGTCTGTACCTCGTCACACACCTTCCTCAGTTTTTCTCTTTAACTGTGGTCAGGCAGGTCACTAATGTGTGATCTTCGGGGATGAGTAACACTGAAGTGTGTGTTGTTGTTGTGCAGTATTAGTCCAGTAGGTGATGCAGTCGTGTTCTGGTTGGTTATGATTATGTTGGGTCTGATTTTCTGAGTGTGGTGAGGCTGTCAGTGATGTCGTTGGGTTTTAGGTCACTCTATTTTTATTTCCCTCTCCTTCTCTTTTCCTGTCTGCTGTCTCTCTCTTTCTCCCCTCACTCTTTATCTGACTCTCTTGCCCCCCCATTCTCTCAAACTGTCATCACCTTGTCATTCCCCCCTTTTCTGTCCTTCTTCTTCTCTCTCTCTCTGTCTTGCTCTCTCCCTCACACACACACACACATTGTCTCTCTCACATTCTCTCTATTTTCACCCCCCCTTTCTTGTTCTCTCTTTCTACCCGTGTATCTCTGACTAACTCTCACTTTTTCTGTCTTTCTCTTTTTACTAATTTTCTCTCTTTCACACACTTTCGTTTTCTTTCCCATTCCCCTCTCTCTCCCTCTCTCTCCCTTTCTTTCTTTCTCCCTCTCTCTTTGTTTTCTCTGTCTATTTTCTCCTTTGTGTCTCTTCATATCTTTCTTCTCTCACTCTATTTCCCTGTCTATCTCTCTCTCTTTCCCTCTCAGCCTCTCATCCGTTTTATCTCTCTCTTTCTATTTCACTCTCTCCTCTTTTTGTTTGTCTCTCTCTATCTCTCTTTCTCTGCCTCACTCTGTTTGGTCTTTTTCTCACCCTGTTTCTTTCCTTATGTGTCTCTCTCTCTCTCTTCCACATCGTTTTCTGACTCTCTTGTTTCCCCTTTCTTCAAACTGACATCACCTTGTCATCCCCGCCATTTTTCTCCTTATTTTTCTCTCATGCTTTTTCTCTCTTCCCTTTCACTCATGTTTATGTCTCTCTCTCTCTCTGCTCTGTCTGTCTGTCTCTGTCTTTCTCTTCCCACACATTTACTCTCTCACTCTGTTTTTCTTTCTCTCTCCATTTTCCTTTCCTTTTTTGTTCTCTTTTTGTCTATCTATCTCTCTCTCTGCCTCTTAATTTCTCTCTTTCCCTCGCTCTTTCTCTTTTTTACTCACTTTCTTTCACTTTCTCTCATCCTTTCTGTTACTTTCCCACTCCTATCTCTCTCTCTGGTTCTCTTTTTCAGACTCTCTTGCTCCCCCTTTCCTCAACCTGTACTGACGTTGTCTTTAACCCCTTTCTCCCTTTCTGTCTCTCTCTCCCTTTCTCTGTGTCTTTCTCTCTCTTTCACATTCCCTATCTTTCTTTCACTCTCTCTTCTTTTCCTTTTTTACTTTTTTCTCTCTCTCTGACATGCTCTCCTTCTCTCTCCCTCCCTCTCTCTCTCTCTCTCTCTCCATCTATCTCACTCTGCTTGGTCTCTCACTCTGTATCCTTCTGTCTTTTTCTCTGTCTTCTCTTCAGTCTTTTTCTGACTGCTTTTCTCCCCTACCCTCAAACTGTCATCACCTTGTCATTCCCCCTCCTCTCTCTCCCTCCCTCCCTCCACACTTCTTCTGTTTGACTAAGTGTCCTTTTTCTCAGATTTGCTGAGGCCGATCTGACGTAATGTGATTTGCAGGAATGAGTAATTGATAATGGAAACGAACACGAGCTCCACACACACCTACACCGCACTCGTTTTCCATATCACTCTCTCTCCTCTGCCTGACTGCTTCACTGCTTCCCTCCTTCCTCTGACCTGTTTGTGCGCTGTGTGTAATAACGGCAGACGTCCCTGTCACTTAATCTCCCCGTCCTCACCCGGCTCTCTCTTCCTCCTCCAGAGGGGGCAGGCGGCGCTTTGGAGGGAAAGAAGAGCGAGAGCGAGGGGTGAGTCACGTTAATCTCACGCTCTGAGTCAGTGCGGCGCTGCAGATACAGCAGCTCTCGCTAAATCCCCACTTAAAGCCATCTGAACACTGAAAACAGACAGCAGAGACGCAGCAACAGCGGCGGCCTTCAGTACAGACAGACAACAGCTTTAAACCAGACGCAGTCTGTTCATTTGGCTTAGAACTGTGTTTCTCTACCCGGTTCTCCAGGCCCACGCCTTATTTCTAACCTAGAACACCTGTAGCAGGTACTCAGTGCTCTTAAAGTGTTACTTCAGTTACACAATCAAATATTTACCCCAAACACAGTTGATCAGCTAAGAAATATTGGTAACACTTTCTTTTACAGTCTGCCATGTGTTATAAAACAGGTACATACAAACTGCAAAGTACTAGATAATTATTTTGGTTAACATGATGTTGAATTCCAACGCATTTAATTAAGTTATACTGAAATGCCAAACAGCTTCTAGATATTAACTCTCTCAGGTTGACGATATCATATGCGACATCAAAGGATGTTGTAGATAAAAGAAAAAAATATTTTGTGAATGCTGCATGCTAGAGACAAACGTTTATTTTGCCTAGAAAAGTAGCACTGTTCCAGTGACACGTCAGAAAAACAGCCTCCGATTGGTCGACAGTCAGGAACACAGCCTCTGATTGTTTGACAAGTCAGGAACACAGCCTCTGATTGGTCGACAAGTCAGGAACACAGCCTCTGATTGGTTGATGCATCATGAACACAGCCTCCTATTGGTCGATGAGTCAGGAACACAGCCTCTGATTGGTTGATGCATCAGGAACACAGCCTCCTATTGGTCGATGAGTCAGGAACACAGCCTCCGATTGGTCGACAAGCCAGTAACACAGCCTCCGATTGGTTGACGAGTCAAGAACACGGCCTGCGATTGGTCAACGGGTCAGGAACATAGCCTCCGATTGGTCAATGAGTCAGGAACACAGCCTCTGATTGGTCAACGAGTCAGGAACATGGCCTGCGATTGGTCAACATGTCAGGAACATAGCCTCCAATTGGTTGATGAGTCAGGAACATAGCCTCTGATTGGTCAACGAGTCAGGAACGCAGCCTCTGAGTGGTCAACAAGTCGGGAACACAGCCTTCGATTGGTTGATGAGTCATGAACACAGCCTCTGATTGGTCGATGCATCAGGAACACAGCCTCCTATTGGTCGATGAGTCAGGAACACAGCCTCCTATTGGTCAACGAGTGAGGAAAGCAGCCTCCGATTGGTCGACGGGTCAGGAACACAGCCTCTGCTTGGTCGACCAGGCAGGAATACAGCCTCAAATTGGTTGACAAGTCAGGAACACAGCCTCTAACTGGTAAACAAGTCAGGAATACAGCCTCCGATTGGTTAATGAGTCAGGAACACAGCCTCTATGAGTCAATGAGGCTGGAACACAGCCTCTGATTCAGTCGATGAGTCAGGACCACGGCCTGCGATTGGTCAACAAAGTCAGGAACACAGCCTCTAATGGGTCAATGAGTCAGGAACACAGCCTCCAATTGGTCAACAAGTCAGAAACACAGCCTTCGATAGGTTAATGAGTCAGGAACACGGCCATCAATTGGTCAACAAGTCAGATGCACAGCCTCTGGTTTGTCAACAGGCTTGATCCAAGGCATTAGTGGATGGCTAACACCTCTGCCAACAACAACAATAACTCTTCAAAGTGGAGATTTGGATAAACAATCACAGAAGACATTCTGTGTTGTATTTGTCAATATGGATTTATTTTACAAACTCTCCAAAAAGACAGTGCAGTTCAAGGCTGGATTAAAAAGCTTCTGAAAGAGATACAATTGCAATAGAGCCCCCATTGAAACTGCAAAATGCCAGCCTACTGGGAGAAAATGAAAGAAGTCTATATCATGCAGCGTTGCCATGACATGTTTTCTTTTTTTGTACGATGTCCTTTGATGTCGCACATGACATCAACCTGAGTGGGTTAACTGAGCAATTGTGGGGTGCACACAAACACATCTTAAACTAACGAACAACAACATTAACAACAACAACAAATGTCCTTTTAAGGGATGGGAGGCACGTGCAGACACAGCTTTGCAAGCTATGCCCCTTGAACTCCTCTTGAAACACAGAGCATATAGCGGATGCCACAGAATTACGTATGAATGTTTGTACTTTATTTGTGTACAATGATATAATTATTCTGTCCAAATGTTAGAGAATGAAGAATGCCATATATGATTATAGTATATATCTCAGGAAGCTGTACAATATTAAGAAAGTCATTATAATTTTAATAAATCAAAATGGATGCTTTGGCCAATAACTTAGATAAAAAAATATTATAAATAATAATTACAGTATTTTACGTTGCGTACATTTGATTCTTGCCCCAAACATGCTGTAATGGCTGAGCTCAGACGTAATAAAACGTGGACAATCAGAAAGACGAGGTTGAGAAACATTCGCTTAGAACATACTTGCTTAAACATGTTTGCACTTTATTTGAACTTTGTTTAAATGTTTTAGCTGATTCCGAAAGCTGAAAACCGTGTCATGGCAGGTCAGAAGTGATCACAGGCTAAAAGTCATTCTGAAAAGCCTCTAATTTTAGGCAGTCATTGTTGCACATTACTCTGAAAAACACGTTGATCTTTTTGGCTCTGTGTGCACAGGTCATCTGTGAGTAGCTCCAGCCGTTATGCAAGCAGAGAGAGGATCAACGCTTCTGCCCAGCGCACCCTGCTCATCGACACCAGCTCCGAACCCGACAGCAGCAGCGGCGTATACGAGAGCTACGGAGGGGTAAGAGAGCAGAGCAGAGGGGCGGAGAGTGGAAGAGACAGAAAAACAGAAAGAAAAGAGAAGATTAGCCCCTTAATCCCAGTAAAGCTTTCTTTCAAAGTCTAGGTATTAACCAGGTAACTATGAGGTACAAACTCCAAAGAACTACAGTTGTTTTGGGTAACATGATAGCAAATTCCAAGACAGTTTAACTAAATTACATTGAAATGCCCAACAGGTTTTAGATAATGAACTGAGTAAGTGTGAGGTGCATTCTGTAAAGCTCTGTGTAATTATTCAGCCTAATCTAAAAGACGGTCTAACTAAATTACACTGAAATGACTAACGGGTTCTAGCTGTAAAACTGAGGACATAGTAAAATATCTCATAATTATTTGGAGTAATGAGGTGATAAATACAAACATACATTAAAATTCACTGTAATATCACAGTATTAAGCTGGACAGTAAATCTGAAACACCTACAAGTACTGGGTAAGTTATATGGCTCAAAAAGATATAAATGGTGAGAACCCTTTAGAACTATGGTAAGAATCATTGCTTCTTTTCTGCAGCCCAGATTCAGTTTTGGTTCTAAACTATATATGGTATAAGTTATAAGACTCTTTGTACTCATTTAGAACTTAATGGCAGTAACACATTCAAAAATGTTGGGTCAGGGGCAACAATAGGCTGGAAAAGTAAGCAGTACTAATAAAAAACAACTGGAGGAGCAATTTGCAACTAATTTACATGACTGAATATAAAAAAAGAGCATTTTAGAGCAAAGATGGACAGAGGTTCACCAATCTGCGAAAAACTGCATCTAAAAATTGTGGAACAATTTCAGAAAAATGTTCCTCAACGTAAAATTGCAAAGACTTTGGATATCCCTCCATCTACAGTACGTAATATCATCAAAAGATTCAGATAATCTGGAGAAATCTCTGTACACAATGGACAAGGCTGACAGTCAATATTGGATGCTCGTAATCTTCGGGCCCTGCATTGAAAACAGGCATGATTCTGTACTGGAAATCACTGCATGGGCTCAGGAACACTTCTAGAAATCATTGTCTGTGAACACAGTTCACCGTGCAATCCACAAATGTAAGTTAAAGCTGTATCATGCAAAGAAGAAGCCATGTGTCAACACAATACAGAAACGCCGCTGTCTTCTCTGGGCCAAAGCTCATTTAAAATGGACTGAGGCAAAATGGAAAACTGTTCTGTGGTCAGATGAATCAAAATTTGAAATTCTTTTTGGAAACCATGGTCGCTGTGTCCTGCGGACTCAAGAGGAGAGGGACCATCCAGCTTGTTATCAGCGACAGTTCAAAAGCCTGCATCTCTGATGGTATGGGGTTGCATTAGTGCCTATGGCACGGGCAGCTTACACATCTGGAAAGGCACTATCAATGCTGAACACTATATAGAGGTTTTAGAACAACATATACTCCCATCCAGACAACGTCTCTTTCAGGGACTTCCCCCCATATTTCAGCAAGACAATGCTAAACCACATACTGCATCCATCATAACAGCATGGCTTCACAGAAGAAGAGACTGGGTGCCGGACTGGCTGCCTGCAGTCCAGACTTACACCAGTAGAAAACATTTGGTGCAGCATGAAATGAAAAATCCGGTAGAGAAGACCAGGACTGTTGAGCAGCTTGAATCCTACATCAGACAAGAATGGGACAACATTCCTCTCCAAAACTCCAGCAATTGGTCTCCTCACTTCCCAGACATTTACAGACTGTTGTTAAAAGAAGAGGGGATGCTACACAATCGTAGACACGGCTCTGTCCCAACTTTTTTGAGATGCATTGCTGCCATCAAATTCTAAATGAGTTAATGTTTTTCATGAAATGGTAAAATGTCTCACTTTCAACATCTGATATGTGTTCTATGTGAATAAAACATGGCTCTATAAGATTTGCAAATCATTGAATTCTGTTTTTATTTACATTTATTTACATTTTACACAGAGTCCCAACTTTTTTTGGAATTGGGGTTGTACAATTGTGTGAATGAGGAAGAGTCTTCTAGAAGAGTTTTAAAACATTGAATGAGGGAAGACGGTATAGAACAGTGTGAATAGGGAGAACATTCTAGAACGGTGTGAATAGGGTATGCCATTTGAATAGTGCAAATGAACATCCTAGAAGAGCGTAAATGGGGAGATAATTCTAGAACCGCACCACATTGTTTGCTAAATCAAGCCTCATAGGATTTTGCTTTTGTTTTCCAACTGTTCCACCAGGAGAGCTATCACTACTACTACCCCACTGAGGCCTACAGCCCTGCTTTATACCCCCATCCGGAGGCTCCTGAGGAACAGGGTGAGAAATCACACAGACAAGCGCACTGCAGGCAGGGAACGCATTTCTGAAAGATTTATTTCTCCTAACGTCAGCGCGGTAAAGACGAGAAAATATTTATGAATTTGTCGTTATTTGCTCACAGCCCACATTTGCCTATAATCCTTTCTGCAGCTCAGAAAAGATGATGTAAGCATTAACCCTTAGAAGTCTGGAGTTATTACTAATATTACCAATAATACTAATGATGCCAGTTGTTTTAGAGCGTTTAGAAATCAAAGCGATAAACCAGGTGTGTGAATGGAAAACATTCTGTAATCATGTGAATGGGAGAATTTACCTAGAACCAGTGTCAGTGGGGAGAACATTCTACCATAGTGCAGTGTAAAGAGGGAGAAGATGTGAGAATAGTGTGAACAGAGAGGACATTCAAAAACAGTATGAACAGGGAGAACATGTGAGAAGAGAGAACAGGAAGAACATTCAAGAGTAGTGTCAACAGGGAGAACAGGCTAGAACAGTGTGAATGGGGAGAACATTCTAGAAGAGTGTGAATGGAAAGAACATTCTAGAAGAGTGTCAATTGGGAAAACATGCCAGAACAGTGTGAATGGAGAGAACAGTTGTAGAAGAGTGTGGAAGGGTAGAACATTCTAGATGAGTGTGAATGGGGAGAACATACTAGAACAGTAAGAATGGGGACAACATGCTAGAAGCGTGTGAATAAAGAGAAAATTCTAGAAGAATATGAACATGGAGAACATGCTAGACAAGTGTGAATGGAGAGAACATTGTAGAAGAGTGTGGAAGGGTAGAACATGCTAGACAAGTGTGAATGCGGAGAACATACTAGAACAGTAAGAATGGGCACAACGTGCTAGAAGAGTATGAGTGAAGAGAACATTCTAGAAGAGTATGAATGGGGAGAACATTCTAGAACACTGTGATGGGGAGAGCATGTAGGAACAGCGTTCATGGAGAGAACATTCTAGAAGAGTATGAATGGGGGAACATGTTTAAACACATGAATGGGAAGAACATTCTAGAACACGGTGAAAGGGGAGAACATTCAAGAACACTGGAAAAGGGAGAACATTCTAGAAGAGCATGAATTGAGGGGACATTCTAGAACACTGTGACGGGGACAGCATGTAAGAACAATGTGAATGGGGAGATCATGGCAGAACAGTGTGAATGGGGAGAACATTCTAGAACACTGTAAAAAGGGGGGAAGATTCAAGAACACTATGAAGGGGAGAATATTCTAGAAGAGTGTGGATGGAAAGGACTTTCTAGAACTGTGTAAATGAGGAGAATATTCTAGAACAGTGTAAAAGGAGAGAACATGCCAGAAGAGTGGACATGGAGAGAACATGCCAGAACAGTGTGAATGGGGACAATGTGCTAGAAGAGTGTGAATGGGGAGAACGTTCTAGAACAGTGTGGATAGGGAGAACATTCAAGGAGAGTAGGGAGAATGTTTTTCATATCGTAAATAAAGTACCACCTGTTCCACAAACAAAAATGTGGATAGACTGAAGGTTTAGTATTTATACTTTCAACAGAATTATTTGTTATAAGTGATTAATAAATCATATAAAATTATGATTTTATTATCACTGGCTACAACAACAACCTCTGAGGGTTAAAGTTTAGCCTGTGATCATTCCTTCCATACAGGTAGCAGACCTGGTTTGAACCCTCTCAGCCATGAGTATGAGGAGGTCCGAGACTGGAGGCCGTATGAAGACCTACTAGCACCCACTGTACCTCCTGTCACTGTCCAGGGATTTGGTGTTGACCGACAAGCCAGGACACCACTTCCTGCTTACCAAGAAGTGAGCTTGACTCAGAGTTCTTCATCATTTCATTGTCAATCAGTCAACCATGCAACTATCCTTACAACACTAACAGTGACTGAAACTGATTTCATTAGCATGCGCGTAGTTCCATACAAGCTATGCTTCAGTATTAGTATGGTTATCTTTTTTGGGATATTCTCTAATCATATTACTTTTGACCGTCTCTCCAACAGGCTGGACGGCGAGGTGCAGCCGATTTGGACCCAACGAGTGCAGTTTACAATTCTTTGGCTTACAGACGCAAAAAGGATTCAGATTTGCCATTTGAACTGAGGGGGGAGCTGGTTTAAGAGTCAGCAAGAATGCTAGATACTTCATTGAATCGTCTGTAGCTGATCCAGTTGGTGTGGAATGCTTGATTCACTGTATGTTATTTTTTAAGTAATTTTGCATTCATCTTAAATTTATGGTTTTGACAGTTTTCAAACTTTAAATGCTGGTTGATAACAGAATAACATATATGGCAAGATTGTCAAAGATTTTGATGATAGAAGTAATTATTATTGTGTACATGGCAACAGGCTGTAGCATTTTATTTAGGGACTTTCATAAGTATTAAATAAAATTTTAAAAAACAAAATAGCTTACGCTAGTATGCTAGTGATCACAAGAAAATATAATGTGTTTTCTGAAGTAAACAACATTGTGTATGCATATGGAAAAATATGATTAAGTTCAGTTAAAATTAATTAAACTGATATGTGGTGCATACACTTGTATAGCAATGCAATGCATTTACTTCATAAAACACCTGATTTCATCTTGTGATTACTGGCATCAATCATTTATAAATGTCATGTATCGACTTATAAATATGTTACTCAAAGCTTATGCATGTGTTATAAGGTCCCTTTGTAGGTAGTCTTAAATCAAATGTGTAAAATAATGCAAAATTCTGTTATCATTGATGTATAATAAGTTCTAATCATAGTATTATGACATTTTAATGATAACACTTCATATTGTCATTTTATTTTATTGCCAATATCTTATTTCCAAAAATCAATTCTAATTTTGACACTGTTTTGTAAACTGTTGAACAAACTGTTCCCCAAGTCTAAGCCTGGACGTACTCCCAAAGGTCTACACAAGGGGGCTCCATGCGTACTTGGTTTCACGCCTCCATGTGTTGACAAACAACAGTTTGTGTGGGTGATTATTATTCTTTTTTTTTCTTCTTTTACATTGTTGCTGTTGTTGTTTTGGGCCTCAGTGGTTTGGAAATTGTTTCCCAGTTAGCTCAACAAACTATTTTTGCCTGTGATTATCCCTTGCGTGGGTACGGTCTGCAGTCTTATTGTTGTCTGAGGACGCTTGGCATCCGTGACCTGGGAGGAAAAGCTCTGATGTAAGAACTGTGTCGAAGGTAAGGACCCCTCAGCAAAAGCATATGGTTCTTAGAAGTAAACAATGCAGACATTATTGGCTCTTTTCACACAGACTCTTTTTAGGTGTCCATGACAAAATGATTGCGCAATGTTCTGAAGGAGGATTAAACATCTCTCGAGGGTGATGCATGATTGAAAACAATTTGGAAAATTGTCTGTGTCCAGTGCTTGAGGCTGGTTTAAAGTACACACAGAGTAACGTATGGCTACAAACAGATGTCAGTGTTTTAGATGTATGTCTAGCCAACAAGGCATAAAGTTGGCAGACCAATAAGTACAGCAGCTGGCGGCTTACCTGTGTCTGGATCATCAGTTTGCAGGTATCTGCCAGCAGCCCTGCACTGCCAAGCACCAGCCGTAAACCAGCAACTGGCATGTGCTGCTGATGGGATTTTTGCCATTGAAAATAGAAAAATATACAATATTCACATTTTTGAAAGGTTTTTGTACATATAAAGAGGTGTGGTCATATTGGTTAATGATGTTAAATTAAAAGTAAATTTCCATACTTTTGGCTTATTTTCATTTTTTTATTATTCCAAAGAATTTGGAACAAACAAACAAACAAACAAACAAATAGAAAGATAGATAGGTAGAGAGATGCATGTATAGATATATAAAATTAAAGATACACAGTACTAGACTTAATTGGGGAACACTTAGCCCAAAAGAAACGAGCAAAACCACAGAACGGTGTGCCACATGACATTTTGTAAACGATTCCAGATGGTTCTCCTCCCATTTGCATTGTTCTGTAATGTTGTCTCCCAGTCGCTGTTCTATGAACTTCCCATTCACACTATTATACAGTGTTTCCACCCCCATTAGCACTGCTCTACAATGTTTTCCTCAGTCACTGTGTTCCATAATATTCTCTCTCTCATTAACTCTGTTCTAGAATGTTCTCCACCTCGTTCACACTGAACTAGAATGATCTGCCCCCATTCACACTGTTCTAGAACATTCTCCCTTTATTCACACTGTTCTAGAATGCTGTCTCCCACTCATACTGTTCCAGAATGTTGTGCACATCATTCATATTGTCCTAGATTAATCTGTCTGCTATTCACATTATTTTTCGAATGTTATCCTCCCATTTACTCCTCTTCATAATGTTTTCTCTCTCTCATTAACTCTGTTCTAGAATGTTCTCCACCTCATTCACATTGTTCTAGAATGATCTGTTCTCCATTCACAGTGTTCTAGAAAGCTCTCTCTTCATTCACACCGTCACAGTGCTGTCTTTCATTCCATTCATATTGTCCTAAAATATTATCTCCCATTACCACTTTTCTAGAATCTTGTCTCCCATTCATGCTGTTCTAGAATGTCATCTCCCATTCATATTGTTCTAGAATGTTGTCTCCTATTCATACTGTTCTAGAATGTTGTTTCCCCCATCATATTGTTCTAGAATGTTGTCTCCCCATCATATTGTTCTAGAATGTTGTCTTCTATTCATATTGTTCTAGAGTGTTGTCTCCTATTCATACTGTTGTAGAACATTGTCTCCCATCTGTATTCTTCTAGAATGTTGTCTGCCATTGACACTTTTCTAGAATGTTTTCTCCTATTCGTACTGTTCTAGAATTTTGTGCATCTCATTCACATTGTACTATAGCGATCTGTCCTCTATTTAAATTGTTGTCTGAATGTTCTCTTCCCCTTCACTCAGTTTTGGAACATTTTCCCCATTCATTTTGTTCTAGAATGTTTTCCACTCATTCATACAGTTCTAGAATGGTGTCACACATGTGTAGTGTTCTAGAATGTTTACCTTCACTGTTCTGCCTTGTTCATTCCCATTGTTTTGTTCCAATCACCTGATTCTGCAAGGTAATCATCCTTTCACACTGTTCTCCAATCCTGTCCACCATTCAGTGTGTTTTAGAATGTTCTCGCCTCATTCACATTGTTCTAGAATATGTATTTTTTAATATTCTCAAAGAACTGCCATTAAAATGCTGGTGTTTCTTGGTTTCTGGGTCTGGTTGTCTTGGTTATATTGAATTGGTCTTAAGAAATGATAGAAAGTGGGCAGCCAAGGTTTGTGATTCATGCTGAGAAAAAAAATCAGAGGAAATCAAATATTGGAAACTCTTTGTAGATTTAAATAAAGACACAGGATTACATGGAACGAAGAAACCGTGAGGGAAGAAACCCCCCAACTCCAAACATCTCATCCTTCCCTCAAAATCCTCTTGGCACTCTGGTGACCCCCAGGATGTTCTCGTGTGTGTGTGACAGGAAGCAGACGTTCAGCGGAAGCAGCCCTGCAGCCGCCTGGCCTGGGGAGGGACCACCTCCCCCCGCCCATCTACGCCCATCTCCCCTCGACTCTTCTCCCAGCAGCCACTTGCCCTTTTGAGTGATTCTCCAGCCGAGTTCACCGCCACAAGCAAAGCAGCATGGTTGGAGACAAGAAGCCCCCAGAAAATAACTCGAGAACTCAACCCCCTCCCCATCCCCATCCCACCCAAGCCCGCCTCATACACTCATACCCACCATGGAGCAGTCATGCGGCAGTGCTTTTGGCCAGAGGTGATGCCTGCTTTCCCATAAAGCCTGCTGTTTATCGCTAATTGACTGTGGCATTGTGTTTTTGATGTAGAAGCAGCAGCGGCGCAGCATCTGGGCCTCTAATCCTGTTTTCTTAAGGATTACGACTCGCTGCGCATTTTGGAAAGATACCAGCGGTGATTAGTTCTAGGCTCTGAGAGGTATAATTTTTACCTTTGAGCGTCTTCTCGCTTTCCCTTCTTTCGGAGGCGGTTTTCCTCGGGCCTGACTGGGTTCAAAAGACACATTAGTCATATACACAGACAAGTATCATTGGATTAATTTAGCACATTTATGAAAATAAAAATAAATGGTGTTAATTACTCTAAGCGGTGAGGTAGCAATTAAAGAAAAAAACAGAGTAACATAGGAGCAAGATATAAAAAGAAATGTCTGACACTATTTACATGTGTGGACTGATTTGTTTGCATAATTTAACATAACGAGCTCGTATGATGTTATTCTTTATTTTAAAGAGAGCTTAAAGTTCAGTTTTATTAACTGCCAGAGTACCTACTGCATTTTTATTGCCTTCCTCGATTCCATGGGTTGTAACTTTGTGTGTAACTTTTATATGATTATATGATTGAAACTGAATGACTCTGTCATTTGAATACACCTACTGCTCTTTATCTTGTGTGAACATTTAATGAACAATTTAATTAACAACACTGTTTTACGTAACATTAGCATACATTCAATGATGCTCCACTGATTTATATTAGATATTTCTACATAATTCAACCATTGAGATGTAAACAAAGTCATTCAGAGTGGTTTGATGTGGAATGGTTCATTGTAGAGAAACGTACAGACTCAGATTTCTTTATAGTGGTGGTGATAGGAACCAGGAGTACCAGTGTCTGCAACACAAATATAGCTGTTTTATTTACTATCCAGAACCACCCGTGAACCTATTAAAGTCTTCTGAGTTTTGTTGAGGGCAAAATAATGCTCCATTGATCCGTATTCCATTGATGCTGTTCTAGAATGTTGTCTCCCATTTATACCGTTCTAGAATGTTGTGCACCTCATTCACATTGTCCTAGAATAATCTGTCCTTCATTCACGTCATTTTTTAATGTTCTTCTCCCATTTATTCAGTTCTAGAATGTTTCCTCCCATTAGAACTGTTCTACAATGATTTCTCCCAATCACTGTTTTCTATAATGTTCTTTCTCTCATTAACTCTGTTCTAGAATGTTCTCCACTTCATTCACATTGTTCTAGAATGAGCTGTTCTCCATTCACACTGTTCTAAAAAGCTCTCCCTTCATGCACACTGTTCTATAATGTCTCATATGCACACGGTTCTACAGTGCTGTCTGCAGTTAACACTTTCTAGAATATTGTCCCCAATTCATTCTAGATTTTGTCTCCCATTAGCATTTTTTTCTAGAATGTTGTCTTCCATTCATGTTTTTCTAGAATATTGTCTCCCATTCATACTGTTCTATAATGTTGTCTCCTATTTATACTGTTCAGAAATGTTGTCTCCCATTCACAGTGTTCTACAGTGTTGTGCACCTCATTCACATTGTCTGAGTTTTTGATGAGGGTGAAATAATGTTCACTGTGAACAAAAAAAAGTTTTCTTTTTTGCCTTCCAACACCCTGCATGTGCCACCATGATTAAAAAAAAATACATGTTTAAGCTAAAATTTAATCTGAACAACAATGAAACAAATGTGTCAGGCATTAGGCAGCATTTTCACAATGATTTTATGTAATAGCTTTCTGTAAGGGAGCGTTTAGAGGTGTTAAACTCTTCCGACGTCTGGTTCCTATCACCACCACTGTGAACAAACCTTACTAGGTTTCTCTAGAACACAACACTTCACACCAAACCTATCTGAATGACTTTGTTTACATCTTAGTGATGTAATTGTGCAAATCTGTCGATTTTTTTTCCTTCCTTAAAATCACAATTTTGGAGATGTACATTTTGTTACGACAGTAATGATACATTTTGGTACATTGAAATGATTTGACTTCACAATCTCATTCACTTAACAGTTGTTTGTATACAGCAGGGGTTTCCAATCTTATCCACAGAAGGCCGGTGTGGCTGCAGGTTTTCACTCCAACAAAGCAGGAGATCACCTGATGAAATGTCTGAAGACTAAGACCAACTGATTAAACTAGTAGAATCAGATGTGCTTCAGCTTGTTTGGAGTGAAAACCTGCAGCCACACTGGCCCTTTGTGGATAAGATTGGACACCCCTGGTATACATTATTGTGCAAAAGTCAGAGACCACTCTTCATTTATGTAATTTTCAATCATTAGAGCCATTAATTACAAGCTGTTCATTTTTCAGTGGCAGGAAAAATATAACTAAGAAAAAAATTACCCAGAAACCCCAAAAAGCTCTTAGAAAAGATGGCTCTTCAAGGGTTCTTTAGTAAAGACAATGGGTCTATAAATTATTCTATATACTATTTGCATGCTTAAATTATACTTTGCATGATGAAAAAAAACGTTCTTCAGATGGTTCTATTTAGAACTTTATGGTTATGGTTCTACATAGAACCTTTTTGAGAAGGGTTCTATATAGCACCAAAAAGGGTTCTTCTATTTTTACAATGTCAAGCTTTTGACCAAAATGGTTCTTCAAAGGTTCTTTAGCAAAGATAAAGATTCTATAAAGAACCATGAACACTCAACATATGTTGTATGTGGGGGCGG